TTGTAGGGTTGTTTATTTAAAAAAGGATAAAATAAATATATATATATAGTATAATATATATATAATGAGATTGCTTTGATTGAGTGAAGACCATACCATATATTGGAAGTTAAAGTATATATATAATGAGATTTGCTTTGATTGAGTTGAAGACCATCATATATTGGAAGTTAAAGGTAGAATTAAAGTTGATGATGAAGCTCTCTTTATACTTTTAGGTGGCTTTAGAATGAGTTTAGTGCCTTTGTCTAAAGCTAAAACACATGGAAGTCTTGAATCTTTGTGCTCATCCAAATATTATATTATAGTATAATACTATTAAGCTGCTTTAATTCTTTAGGGCACTAAGGAACCTTTGTTGGGGACAGAGGTGACATTTGCCTCAAATCAGATCGTTTGTGATTAATTACACATCCACCCTCGTTAACTTTTCTTTATTTCTTTATTTATTTTTTTTTACAAACACTTTCGCTTAACATTTTTTATAATTAACATTTATGTGAATATTTTTTACATTAATTACAAATTTATTTTAAATTCATTTCTCACTACCATTTGTGTCTCGATTCTTAAACCTACCAAAATCCGTTTAATTTTACTATATTGATTTAGTAATGTACTATAAAAAAATATTTTTTATAATTTTAATTAATATTAATTAACCTGTACCAAATCACCATCTATCAATTTTGATTTATCAGTATTTAAAAGTCTCTAAAAGATTGTAAGACTTCAAGTATTAACCCAACTAATCAATCTCATTACAAATATGGATTATTCTGTTAATGACAACTAACTCATGGAAAATTGTTCTTTTGCGACAAAGTATATTCATCCATTTGCTATTATCCACTTTTTCAGTTGGATAAGAATGTGGATTTTTTTTTTCTTTTTTTTCTTTTGTGTTCAATTTTCTTGTATTTCAACCCTTTTTGATGTGGGTTCATGCTTTTTTATTTTTTAAAAAGCAATCAATTGCAGGAATCTCTTGTACTGTACAAAAGATTCCGTCTCCAATACCTTATAATTATTGGTATTGGACAAAAGACATCCCTAAAAACAGGAGCTCCATAATTAGAATAAAATGGATAAATTTGCTATAAAATAATTTGTTTAATTAATTAGATTACTTAATCTTAGCATATATACATATATTTTATATAATGCATGAGGAAGTGGGAAACATTATACTTTAGCACTCAAAAAGTTTTATATAGTATTTAAAATTAAATATAATTATGAAATGACAAAAGAAATAATCAATAGCTCGATTTCATATTAATACATCACATGTAGATGAGGAAGAGAAATATAATTAAAATTGATTTCTTGCCTAATTAATCAACATCGTGATCAACATTTTCACGCCACAAAAAAAGCACTATGTGTATATATTGTGTTGCATGCTAAAGTAACAATAAAGTTAGTGCATTATTTTTGGCCACTTAAAATGAGTTGTTGTTACTTTGGAGATTCTGGCTTGGAATATACAGTTCTCTTAGATCTTATGCTTATCAAAATTAATTAATTAATACCTTGTGTATCAGTGTATCTAAATTATATGATTTTCTTCTAATCATCAAAAAAAATTTTGGATTAACGGAGTTGGTCTGAGTGGAAATGACTCAATTCCTTTAAATAAGAGATTGAGTATTCGGTTCTTGTGAATGAAGAAAATTCATATTGGACGTGTTCCTCTCTTAAAAACCTGACGCCGCACGAGTTCATAGTATATTATTAATAGATGATTGACCATCAGCCCTACATTTCGTGTATGATTTAAAGTTTAAAAATGGTGGCTCCACTCCACACATCTAGATGACAAAAGTTAATTAAATGTTTTCAGGATCAACATTTGCAATTTAGGGTTTTGTTGTGGGTTAGAGCAATTTTATTACTTGATCTTATCTTATCCATGATGGGGTTGGGCATTACTTTTTCTCAGACATTGATTTACCACCATTTTAAGGATGTTTAGCAATTGGGAAACATCATGCTTAAGGTAAACGGAATTCAAACTTTTAAGTTTTATTATGCAAAATGCTAAACGAAATTAATTATTACTCTCTCTCTATATATATAGGAATAGGTCAAGTAAAATTATTAATTAATATTCTTTTATATTAATCTAATATTTTTTTTTATCAATTTAATTGTTACAATTTCTTTGAAATAATCTATCTGCATAAGTTAACATAAACATCACTATCTATAAAACTGGAATACCTAAGGGGTAAACTATAAAGAATGGATAATGCTAGTGAATCTTTGATGTAGCTTAGGAATACTCGTAACTGCATGCTTATTCTTACGGAAAATACTTATTTAGACTGGGTCTATGGCCTTCTTATAGACCAAACCAATGAAAATAGAAAATTTTAAAACTGTTCCTATTTTATTCCTTTTTTGTTTTCTCATTGTAAACCGATCTAGGTAAGTCAATCCCCTTTCTTACACACTCAATCCAATGATAATATTAATTAATTGACCATAAACCAATCCAAAAATCCTTTGCCCATTGGAAGAAAAAATAGAACTCATATCAAATAATTTGGCTGTCTAAATAGTTCCAGATATACATATCATTAATGAATTCTAAATTTTGAAAAAGAAATGCCCATAGTCTCATTAAGATTTTTTCTTTTTGATATTTTTCAATACACTAATTGTTATAAAAAAAAGAATAAAATAAAGGGTATAATTTTATTCTACTAAATAAGAATTCAGTGATCTCCAATTATAGATTTGAGTTTAAAAAGTAGACTTAGAGCTCAGCTCGTTAAAAAAGGAGTGGAACTTGAGTTCAATTTTGGTTTGATTCATGTTGAATTCGAACTCGAACTTGGTTCAATTTTAATTTATAATAAAGGATAGAATTGTAGTTCATTTATGTGTTCGGACTTAAACTTTAGCTTAAGCACCAACGTAAGTACTATGAAATAGCTTGTGCGCTTTTAAAGCTTGAACTCAACTCAAATCCTTAAACTTATTTAAAATTTTTTAATGTTTCACAATTTGACTCATTTATAGTGTCAAGAACAAGGAAAAAAAAATTAAAAGACAACCATGAATGATCATAATATTACCCTTTTAGTCCCATCTTCAACCTCACAAATATTGGGCCCATTGGCTTTCTACGTTGGGTAGGAAATATCCAATACTGAATGAAATACTAGATCCCAACACAAGTCACAATTACTCAATTATTAACTTTACTGATCTGGAATAGATTTTGTATTTGTAATGCACCCCAAAGAATTGGTTTTTAACTATTTTGTATCTGAAATCCATTGGCCCGACTAATCTGGGTTCGTATTAGACAGGTCTACAAAAGGAACAGGTCTACAAAGGGAGGCAAAACGCTCTCTTTTGGATATTTAAAGGGACTCCATATTTAGAGTTGGAATTTGAGATATCTGATTATGAGAAAAATGATCTCTGTTATCCCATCTCATCTCTCTAAAGCAATGTACCATAAATTTTTTAGAAAAACTTCATTACACTTATATTATAATAAAAAAATACAAAACTTATGATATATTTCAATATAAATTAATAATAAATTTAGATATATAATGGATCTGGTCGAAATTGAAATGAGAAATGTTAATCGGCTTATTATGTTAGATAAATTTGGTTGCCTTAAAATGTCTAAATGTTAGGAAATTTCATGATTTTGATTTCAATTCAATGATATAGTCGAATGTGAAGTTGTGATTTATAATATTTTAAATTAAGATTATCACGTTTAATCCTAATTTGGACCTTAGTAGTAGTATTTAAAATAAAATGCAAGCTTTCACAGTATCTGACTACTGGTAATGGGCCAATGGCGCATTAAGATAAAAGCCAGCTGATTGGAAGGATGGAGCTTTTGGTCCAAAATTGAAAAATTTATGGGTTGGGCTAGAGTTAGTAAACAGAAGTCACAGGATATCCAAGGCATAAAGTAAATAAAAAGGCAAGTAAAAGGTCTCAAAAATTACAAAAGTCCGCCGGATCCTCGAACCCACGAGCACAAAGTTAAGAACCTTAAGCTCAACCGACTGAACCAGACAACGCGGTGGAGCTTAACCTGGCGACTTTTAGATATAAAAAGTGCCTCAACTAAATTTATCAATTGAATACTTCATAGTTATAGAACGATTTACATATTTATCAAATTAAATATTTACCGAGTTGCTATTTATCAATGGAGTTTTATCGTTTATCTATAGATTTGCTAAATTGATTGATTTATTATACTAGGGTTTGATTTTTTTTCTATAAAATAAATTTAAAATAATATAATTTTTATAAATAAAAAATTCAGAGTTTCATTTTGTTTTGGATATCTTATTGAACTATTTAGCATTTGTCGTATTTTGTCCAAACAATTTATTATTCATTTATTGAACTGTTTCTACTAAATAATCTGGTGATTTTCCCATCTCACTGTTAGTAAAGGTTAAAATTTAACTTTTATTTTATATTATGTTTTTTTTTTAGGTGTCAATATAAAAAATTATTTTGTTGTCATTATCATTATGACTACTATTAGCAGCATAAATGAAATATTAAAATAATATTATCTATCAATTGTTCCTAATTTCCCAATGGCATCATCAAACCAAAATCAATTCCCATCTCCGATCGAACGGTTGAAATCAGTCACCAGTATGACCACTGACCAGTCCCAACAACGTCGATTCAAAGGTGTAGATCGGACGGCTTATATCAAAGAATTCCACTACAACAACGTGAATAAGCACACACTTGAACATCCAAACACCAATACGTGGGCTAGGTTTGTCAGAGTGAATCCCACGGGAAGCCCATTGTGGTAATTTCCCTTTCTTTCTAATTAAATAAAATTTCCGACATAATTAAATTCCTCTGAAGAACCCCCTAATCTAACCGTTCATTTTCTCCCATCAAAGATCAGTAGTCTGCCACGTAATTATCTCCTAACTCAATATTTTCACTCTTTAACAGAATATCACATAAAATATCTCCATCGCCTCTTTTCGCCCTGTAAAGTACTCAGAGCGTCCTTCTCTCTCTTTCTCAGGTTATCTCACTCTGAGGCGATCCCTAATCCAAAACCTAATTTCTTATTGTTTTGATGTTATTTGATTCTTCAATTCCTCCCTAAAGGTTCTATTTTTTTCACATTCTGCTAATAACCACATTAGATATCAATTTCTCCGGCGGCGATCGTTTTGTTTACTTCGGTAATTTATCTGCCTTTTGGTTTTCTGGTTTGCTGCGATCGGACGGCGCTGTTTTAGTTCTGCTTTGTTTGTGGGTTCTTGAATTGATCAAGTTGGTTTTTTGCGAGGGAGTGTAATTTCTTGCAAGAGCCAGTAATATTAAGAGTGTTTTACTTCTTTTCTTTTCTTTGATGAAAATCATTATCAGAGAATGAATGATGACGCCGGGGCTGCGTAGCGGAGCACGCAGAGGCCGGGGAGCAGCAGCAAAGCAACAACCAAATCCGACTGAGGCAGGGGAGGCCATTGCTACAAGAACACGCAGAAGGCGCGCGGCAGCAGCGGCCGCAGGGGCTGCACCTAAGAATAATAATACCAATAACAATAACGATAAAGACCAACAACAGCCGGTAGATGAAAACTTAGTTGCTGTTGCAGTAGCAGCGGCAGCGGCGGCGGCTAACAAGGAGAATAGGGGATTAGTGGTGGGAGGAGTGGGAATTGCTGGTGTTAGCGCTGTTGGTGGTGAGGCAGAAAAGGAGGAGGAAGTGGGAGAGAAACCTATGGATGACTATGATAGTGGCGGGAAAAGTCACGGTAAAGTCAATGCCGGTGAAGATGAGGGGAGCACTGCTCCCCTTCCTGAGAAGGTTTGTCGAGTTTTAGTTTACTTCCATTTGAAATGCATTTCTGGATATATGTATATAAATTTGGATCGTAAATATTTTGGAGGTTTGATATTTGGATGAAAATTGCTTTCTTTTGTTGTGTTTGAATTGATGGTTACATTGTTCCCAACGGTAGGAATTAACAATCGAGTAAAAGGAAAAATTTTGTTTTCAGATTTGGGACTGAAAAAGGAGCTCTTTTTAGTGGTATTTGAAGGAAACTTTACTGATCTGGATTCTGTTGAACATACTATGTTATTCTAGGTTTGATTGTTGCATCTAGAAGATCTGGTTTCTGAGTGTAGCATTTCAAAGTTCGCAAGTATATATTTTTGTGCATTGCATGTGCTTATGAGATCTTAAATCAAGAGTGACCTGAGTGTTTCTGTAGCGGCGGCTTTTGTGTTTCTTGTCTGTCATATGATCTTAAATGACACATTTCTGATATTTTTACAGTTGGTTTTTTTTTTTTTTTTTTTTTTTTTTTTTTTTTTGTTTTTTTTTTTTTTTTTTTTTTTTTTTTTCTGGGGAAGTTATATTATTTCTGTAAGATACTTTATATCTTTTCACTACGATAATTTTTTTTTTTTTTTTTTTTTTTTTTTTTTTTCTGGAAGTATATTATTTCCTGTAGATATTTATGATCTTTTCACACGATAATAGTTAATCCTAGTTTTTCTTCATAAAGTCTTGGCTTCAGGTTCCTTTTCTGGACGTGGCAAGAGGTAGTTGCTAACCTCTATAAGCTTATTTTAATAATTTTTTTTGGCTGGAGGCTTCGTTTTGGTGTTAGATTGCATTGCCTTTCAAAAGTAGGTTTAGACAATATCACATGAGAGTTATCACTCAATAGCATGTTATTACTTATCTTTTCCTCTGTTCTATGTGCCATATACGTCTCTTTTAATGAATATAGATTTGCATGCAGTGACACTTAGAGAATAATCAATTTAGTGATTATGAGAATATGGGTGTGCTTAGTGGCTGGCCGTGCTCATCATTTTTGTCATTGCCAGTGGTATGTGCTTGGGGATAACCTATCTTGATTGGTTATAGAATGTTAACTTCAATTACTTGACAGTTCTTTTCATAATGGGATTCTATAGTTGATTAATGGAGTGATCCCCTGCACGGTTGAATTATTTAACTGATTCAATGAATTTAAGATTCAAATCATAAAATTTTGTTCTTGATATCTTTCTCACTGACGATCTTAGCTCATGTGACTGCTTGTTCATATCCACTATGCAATGGGTTTATACATGAGTTCATAATTGGACTCTATTTGATGGATTTTTTTTTCCTTCTCAACATGGTGTATGCTCTGCCTATCTGAAGAGCGTAACTTCGATGTCCCTGTTGTGTTCTTTGTTTCCCTAGTTATTCCTCCGATTGCTTCTGACAGTTATTGCACATTATGAACATGAAACTTCTAAAGTTCACATCTCTCTATTCACTGTGATTCAATACATCTTTTAATATAACTTATTCTTAGATGATTGTAGTGCAAGTCCTCGACAGCTTTCATCGTTCATGTGCTTTTTATGTTTCTACACCTACCCTTACATATAGGTTTCTCTGCTATTGGTAGCAAGTATATTTCTTAGTTATTCTACTTAGTAAATTATCCTCTACTTTTTTAATTTTCAATCCTTTATTTTCTTTTCTTTTTCTTTTTCTTTTTTTTTTTTAAATTTTTCATGAAACAATGTTTTTTGCTGGGTTTCTGTTGTTCCTTGACGATGAATCACTGTTCTTTGCTTTGATGTTCACAGGTTCAGGTTGGGGGTTCTCCAATGTACAAATTAGAGAGAAAGTTAGGTAAGGGTGGATTCGGCCAAGTGTATGTTGGTCGACGTGTTTCTCCTGGTAATACAAATGATAGAACTGGCCCTGGAGCCATAGAGGTATTGCTGTTACCATTATTGTTTTGGATTGCTAATTTTTGTTAATTTATTTTCTTCACCTTGTATTTTCCACTATTTACAAGCCTTTTGTTTTTAGGTGGCCTTAAAATTTGAGCATAGAAGTAGTAAAGGATGTAATTATGGACCACCACATGAGTGGCAGGTTTACAGGTGACTAATGATTGTAATTGTCATTCCTTCTTGGTTATTGCATATTAGTATTTCAAAATATTTTATTTTTCTTTTGCTGGAGTAATATTTCTAAATCAATTTTATTTTTATTTTTTTTAATCACTTATGCAGCATTCTTGGGGGCAGTCATGGTATACCACGAGTACATTACAAGGGTCGGCAGGGTGACTATTATGTTATGGTATGCCATCCTGGGCCTTTATTGCTAGTTTGGGATAATTGGAACTCCATTTCTAGAATAATTTTCCATTCCCTGGTTTTAAAATGGTTTTTAATGGAAAATCTTTCTGTCTGTAGGTTATGGATATGCTGGGCCCAAGCTTGTGGGATGTTTGGAATAATAACTCCCACACGTGAGTTCAATTCCTTGATATTTTGCTATCAATTTTTTGTATTATTTTAGATTGTGTATATTGAAATTGTTTTAAATTACAGAATGTCCATTGAAATGGTTGCTTGTATTGCCATTGAAGCAATATCAATATTGGAAAAGATGCACTCAAGAGGGTAAGCTGTTCAGTTGCATATTCTGTTTCTGTTCAATTGCTTTGGCAAGTGGATGGCTGGCGTATACATCCTTTTGTTTGTTTGATATGCTAATCACATTATGAGTCTGATAACACCTTGATATTCTATTTTCAAATTGCAAAAGAAAGTATGACTCTCAATCTGCCCAACTTTGCAGTTATGTCCATGGAGATGTGAAGCCAGAGAATTTTCTGCTTGGGTCTCCAGGAAGTCCTGATGAAAAAAAGTTGTTTCTTGTTGATCTTGGATTAGGTGATTTGTAATTCAGCTTATTTTCATTTCTGCTTAAACTATTACGATATGCGTGCATATCCACTGCTCACCCATTATTCAATGTCTTCATTTTGTTTGGGATCAGCTACCAGATGGCGAGATACTTCTACTGGTCAACACGTTGAGTATGACCAAAGGCCTGATGTTTTCAGGTGTGGCTCTTGATTACACTCTTTTTGGCATTATTATATTCATCTAAGTATTTTGTGTGCATTCCTTTGTTTGGATTAATTGGTTCTTGGTTGATCATTATTTTATTCTGCCAGAGGGACAGTTCGTTATGCTAGTGTACATGCCCATTTGGGGAGAACAGCTAGCAGGAGAGATGATTTAGAATCACTTGCCTACACACTCATTTTCCTTCTCCGTGGTCGTTTACCTTGGCAAGGGTATCAGGTTAGTCCATTTTTTAACCTTATAAAGCTTATACCTTGTACCAAATTTCTCCCGGTCACTATTTACGTAAGGCGTTATACAAGTGCGTGTTTATTTTTTCGTGCCTCAAGATTAAATATGTTTTTTATATGATGGTGTTCTTAGGGAGAGAATAAAGGGTTTCTTGTTTGTAAGAAGAAGATGGCAACATCTCCAGATTCTCTCTGTTGCTTCTGTCCACCACCTTTCAGAGAGTTTGTTGAATATGTGGTGAACTTAAAATTTGATGAAGAACCTAATTATGCAAAATGTGTGTCCCTTTTTGATGGTATTGTCGGTCCAAATCCAGATATCAGGCCCATAAACACAGAAGGTGCTCAAAAGGTACATGAGATTGTTTGCATCTATTATAGCTTGTGAGCTTCTGATATATCTGAACTTATGAAAGTTGTAATATCCCTAATCTATGCTGATGTCTTTTAAAGCTTATTTATCAGGTTGGTCATAAGAGAGGTCGGTTGACTATGGAAGAAGAAGATGATGAACAACCAAAGAAGAGGGTTCGTATGGGCACGCCAGCAACGCAATGGATTAGTGTGTATAATGCTCGTAGACCTATGAAGCAAAGGTATAAACTGCATGCTTCAAGTCATCAGTTATGATATATTGAGAAATTTATAGCATTGTTTTATTGATATAATTGGGCATTTTTAAGTTTTTCTTGCAGTATCTCTCTTTATGAAATTTTTATAAAGACAAGAGCTGTCATGAGTGAGGGGCCTCTTGTTGTTTCCAATTTCATTTTTTTAAATTTTTTTTTTTTGTTTTTGTGATCTATTTGTTTTGTGGGAGGGGGTTAATCTCGTATTCTTTTCTGTTAAGCCTGATCTATTTGTTTGTGATCTTGTAACAATGGAGTGTTGAGAAGCTTGTTTCATGTGCTTTTGTAGGTATCACTATAATGTGGCCGATGCAAGGCTTGCCCAGCACATTGAAAAAGGAAATGAGGATGGCCTGTTTATTAGCAGTGTAGCTTCATCTCAAAGTCTCTGGGCCCTTGTTATGGATGCTGGAACTGGTTATACTGCACAAGTCTATGAACTATCACCACATTTTCTTCACAAGGTATGCGCTTGTGCATTTGATCTGCTTGAAGCAACTGTCTATTGTGCTTACACTTAAATTGAACAGCTGTTCATACTAAAGTGCATAAAATAACAATGTCCCTGAATTTTGTTTGGTTTATTGGTGAAGGAATGGATAATGGAGCATTGGGAGAAGAATTATTATATCAGTTCCATAGCTGGAGCTTCTAATGGAAGTTCACTAGTTGTGATGTCAAAGGGTTAGTCCAGCTTATTTAAATGTTTGGTTTTATGTGACATGTACTTCCATTTGGCTGACTTTATTCCATTTGAGTTTCAGGCACTCTGTATTTGCAGCAGTCATATAAAGTTAGTGATTCGTTCCCTTTTAAGTGGATTAGCAAAAAATGGAAGGAGGGTTTCCACGTTACTGCTATGGCCACTGCAGGGAATAGATGGGGAGTTGTTATGTCTCGTGGTGCAGGCTTTGCGCACCAGGTCATATTTAATGTTTGGATATATTGTATCTCACTATTTTCTTAGTTAAGAGTAGGCATGATTACCTGACTGGTTTGTGGTATTAATTTCAGGTTGTCGAACTTGATTTTCTCTATCCAAGTGAAGGAATACATCGGAGGTGGGATCATGGATATCGCATCACAGCAACTGCAGCAAATTTGGACCAGGCAGCTTTTGTTCTTAGTGTGCCCAGAAGGAAACCTACAGATGAAACACAAGAGACACTTCGAACTTCTGCTTTTCCTAGCACTCATGTCAAGGTGGGATATCTTTATTTCTATACCATTTTTGTTCCTGATTTTACTTATATTGGGAGGTCTAAAATTTTACATGGGCCTTGCAGGAGAAGTGGGCAAAGAATCTATATATAGCATCGATTTGTTACGGTCGAACAGTCTCATGATCGGTCTCTCTCCCTGTAGTTATCCAGTTGAAAGGAGAAAAACCGTGGTTTCCTTATCTAGGCTTACAGAAATTTTGATGAGTACATAGGTTTTTATCAATTGTAATCAAAGTATAGAAGCTGTGAGTTGTCTGTCGTTTGTGTGAAATTTCTCCTGTTAATGTCTGATCAGACAGCCATAGCCGAAAGGGATAATGGGCGTCTTTTTGTCAACTTCTGTACAGTCTTTGAATAATTACTCTTATTAGGACATAATGTAGAAGTCAAATTCCTCTTTTATGTGGATTTTGACTTTGCTTATTTTAGGGTGGCAGAATTGGCTTTATTATTATTATTATTATTTTTAACACTTGCCCATTTGCTCAAATAGAATGACAACCACTATCATTTTGGGTTTACATTCATCAAACTAACTAAAGAGCAAGCATATGCCAACTTGAGCAGAAGTACGATCAAATGCCTTAGTTGTTACAGGATGGCAAAGGAAGAAAAAAAAGAAAAAGATAATTGGTGAAAAAAGGGACTATCAGATAGGATATACTATTGAAAAATTGATTAGTGACTTGTAATTTGGATCAATCCGCGCGGGGGGTGGGGGTGGGGTGGGGTGGGATTCCAAGCTTTCCCAGCTTATGAAAATTTCAAATTGAAGACTATAATGGAAGTTCCAAGCCTCCTTTTGCATCTTAATGAGTTTTCACTAGCGGTTCTCCTCGGTTGGTCTGCAACACAACCTCTCCAGCTGAACAGCTTCCTGTTATTGCACATGTTAATATAATCAGCCACCATTCTCTACTTTTGTTCTTATCTTCAAGATAGCCAAGTGATTAATGCCTGGCATTGACAGTGGCATGTTGTAAATTTACCTCGAAACTGTCATAATCGTAGCGAACCACGAAGATACACTTGCAGCCTCCTCTTGCATCATGCAATCGCCTTTGCACCCCTACTACATGGGCATCACAGTAGATTGCTTGTTCTAGCCGTTCCTATAAACCAGGCATGAGTGCAAAAAGTTAAAACTGGTTAAAAAAAATAAGAAAAGAAAAAAAGAAAACATAACTCTAAGGCTTTTTTTGGTATATTGTAATGTAATGTAATCAAATGAATAATTTTTTCATACCAGAACTGCATTTGATTGCATTCCATTTCGACATACCAAAAGAAACCCAGTTTATCTTGAGTTACTGGTGTTTATGTTTGTGGAATTTGTAAACATCAACTGTGCTACATTTTCAGTTTAAGCCAACATGAGAGGAGTATAACCTCTGTTTAACTCCTAGTCCTATAATCGCTTCCTTATTAACCAGCTTGCAGGAGTTCTTTCTTAACAAAAGTGGGAAATAGAAATGTACCCTGAAGCACAGTACAAGATCTCCAACTTTCACCCTGTGACATTCTGAAGGTTCCAAAGGAATGGATCGTTCTCGCACTGCCCTTTTCACATTCACCCACTCATCATCTGTATTACGGAATCCAGCAAATCGTACACGTACTTCCTGTGTTGCAGAAAGAAACATTCAAAACATTCATAATAATGAATGCAAATGACATCTCTAGTAGTAAACGGAATATTAAGTATCGGAATATCAAGTATATACACAGAGTACCCTGTGAGCAAAATTTCATGAAATGCATCCAGTATTAGAAAAGTTATTATGACTGAAGAATTATCTTTCTTTTATAGAATATGCTTACAAGTTCACCAGAACAAAGAATTCTGTAGGTGAGGAAAGCAGCAACATCATACCTGCAGACAGAAATTTTGGTTACAAAAGCTGGTTTTAATAATATAGTATAATACCACGGCTGTGAACTTAATGATGGTTTTCGCTATGGCCAAAACAAAGTTCTAGTTAGCCAAATAAGCACTTACAGATGAAGCATAGTCTTTTGAAATGCTCATTAAATCAGTTATCAATAGATATACACCAAAGTAATGATATACTTATATTCATTTCACTTCTGCTTTTTTTTTTTTTCCATCTTCTCCCTATTATTTATGTAAAAAGGTAAAATATAATCAGAGAAGATTTTAGCTTTATTTGAATAGCGATCAAAGAGACTCAAAGTCCAAAGGAAAAAGAAGTTAAAATACCTGATCATGCCTGAATTAGAGAAGAGAAAAAGTGAATATCTATACAAATATTCAAAAAGATAACTGGCTTGTAAGAAAGAAGAGAATTGTTCATATTCTTGCATCTGCATGTTTCCCATGCCCATCATAGGACAAGCAAATAAAAAAGCCAGGCAAAATTTGGATTTCTGCATCAGATTTTCCCACCTGAATCCCATTATCTAAACCTTCAGTATTTTACAAATTCAAGAGTCATACTTAAGCAATTAAAAATAGATCTGAAAATGACATCCCCCCCTGCATCCCATCTTGTGCATGGTACGAAATATATCAATCCGAACCTTAGAGAAAATAATGCCAAGAGATTTCAAATAAAATCTAGGAAATCTTGTATATTGTTCAAAAATTTATGGGTTATCAAGCTACAAAGTTTTGCATTTTTAGCAGATGAATTCTCACCAAGCGTAATCTTTTGCAGATCTAGCTTCAAAGGACAACTCTGAAAGATCAGTAACCTTCCCACCTGTATAAAAGTCGGCATTTTCCAAGTTGCGAATGAGTTTGGAAAAATTGAATTGAAAAGTTATAACTGCATTTGGAAACAGACATAAGTTTTCCAATAATACAACTATACTATCACACTTATATTGGTAGTGCAAACAAAATCATATTGGTCCAGGATAGCAACTGAAATTCATTGCAGGACACATGTACAATATAAACATTGAATAGGACTTCTTCTTTCATATTTGAAAATTTGCAATAGGAATTCCACACTTAACCATAGCAGATAGGTTAAGGAAAGAAGTGATAATGATCAAAGGACCTGACAGATGAAAAATAACCTACTAGTTTGCCCAAAGGAAAAATGGGGGAAAATGAAAATCTAGAAAGAAGGCTTGGAAAGACAATGTCACAATTGAGAGGCAGAATATTTAAAGATATCCACCAGAAGGCAAAGCATTAAGACGAAGAGTAATTAGGCAGGGAAATTATTTACAAGCGGAGAGCTGGAGAATAGAAATTATTTACAGTACTGAAGCAAGAAATAAGCATTCCTCTATATAAGAAGCAAAGCAAGCTCATGCCTTGAACAACCCTCAATCTCAGTTGAACAACAAGAACTTATGTTCTTGACAAGATTTCTAACCCTTTCTCTTAGACTCTATAGATTGAAGTTATTAATAATGATTCTATACTCCAAAAATTAATCACAAGGAAAGACCACTAAAAAGAATACATCTACAACAATAATTAATACAATTATCTCATGCCAGTTTACAGTATGACCTTTAGACTTTTGAGAACTTTCAGGTGCATCACTTGAGATATTTGTAGGAGAAAGATCAACAAATAATTTCAAAGCCACAGGCAATGGAGCAACTTTAGGCTGTGATTCCTTTTGTCTATCCTCAAACCAACTTTGCACCTAGAACACAAGAAGAGAAAGATAAAAGTTACTAAAGGCTTAATTATCAAAATAAAAATTTTTTGGAAGAGAAGAGGATAAGAAATACCTGGTTCCATGTTATTGCTGGCTTTCCAGCACGATTTGGTGCAAAACTGAAATGTGTAATAATGTTTCAATTAAAAACAATTCTATAAAGCACATGATACATATATCAGAGTCCAAATATTACTTTTCTTAACTTTGAGGATGCAATGAAATTTGCCAAAAAATGACCTCACCTAAAGCTTGTTGCAAGCCTTTGGCAAAACTCTGGACTCAATGCTTCTTCTCCTATCTCCTTGTATATATTTTCCATTTCCACCATCTTCAAGCAAATTCAAAGTTTGTATTCAAGTCAGTTACATAGAAAAAAAAAAAAATCACTTTTCAATGGAAATGGAAGTGAGGAATGATTAATACAAATCTACAGAAGAACCTTTGAGACAACTGATAGGGGGCTTAAATATTGGCCTTCAATTTAATTAGCCGTCAATTTTGTGAAATGGCTATGTATCCTATATCACACTCTATCAATTGGTAATTGAGAAACCCCTTCTGCTAAGTAAAGCTATATTCATCCAAAATGATAACAAAGACAAACCCATTTAAGAAAACCATTATAATCAATGATTCAAAGCACAAAGACAGAGAATTTAAGCAAGAATTTGAAACTAAAGCGTACTAGTTTGCAGGTTATGTGGTGAGATCACAAACCCAGATAATTTAAAAAGAAAAGGCCAAAAAAAATCCAACATAAAAATATTAAAAACAACACGAGTTGATTTATATTGTACCTCTGCAAGTGTGAATTCGCAGAGAGAATCCATAACTAGTGATCCTGTGACGGAATGCAACAGCAAAAATAGTGTTTGTTTGTGCAGTTTTGACAGGGTTTTTGTTGTCCTGAAGAAGGAGACGGGTTTTAGTACTCCTTCATCGTGTGGGGTCTCTTGCGTTGCGCCACTTAATCCATGCCTCTCAACTTTAGTGTTGGAGTTTCACAATTTTATTGGTAAATATATTAATTAATCTCTAAAGTTTACCCTTTGATTATTTAGTCTGTTTTTTTTTTTTTTTTTTTTAAAAAACTGTTTTTTTTTTTTTTTTTTTTTTTTTTTTTTTTTTTTTTTTAAAAAACACCTTTTTCACCATTAAATACCAATGAAAATAACATTATGGGAGATAAATAATAACGCTATGTTCAATGTAAATGACTAAAAAATTAAATATTACAAAATTTTTATGATAAAGTACACTTTTAAATTGAAAGACTATAAATCTTAATATTTGTTGGGCATCTTTTCTTAATTTCAGAATATAAAATATCCATTTATTGGCACGGATCTGAATTAGCTGGACCAATGGATACTCGATGATTAAAATCAAGAATATAAAATATTTATATTTTAATTGGTTATTGAATTTTAAGATTTAATGAAAGAACCACTATATTGAATGTAGAGATTAAATAATTAAATATTATCGAATATTTTGTGGTAAAAATGCACTTTTTGGATGAAATATGGATTAAATTTCAAAGTTAATCAATATATTTATCAAATAAAAAAAGACAAAATTGTAATTTATAAATAATATTAGGGATTAAACATTTATTCTTTTTAAGAAAATTTGGAATAATTTCTTTTGGTAATCGCATAAAAAAAATGTTGATCATGTTAACAATGATACTTATCCGTCTTATAAAAGATAATTTTATTTTGATTTTCACACATACAAAGAAAATACAATTAATATGGTTAAATCATAATTTTTTTTATAACTTTTTCATAATACAAAAATATGAAACGTCTATATTTTAATTAGTTATTTATTTTAAAATTTGATTAATAGTAATATATTTGTCGATAATGCATATTAAATATAGATAAAATAAAAAATATTAAAATTATATTTATATATATATTTAAGAAGAACTAGAACTACAATTTGTTACAAGTAAAAAAAAAAAAAAAAAAAAAAAAAAAAATCTATCTTGTGGGATAGAAAGAAGTAATAATAAAAAAAAAAAAAAAAAATCTATCTTGTGGGATAGAAAGAAGTAATAATTTATTTAAGTCTATAATAAAAATTGAGAAGTCTTTTTTTCTTAACCTGATCTAGCAAGTTTACAATACACCTTAAGCAATTTATCTGAATGCTGTGATGAATATATGAAAATACACCGTTATCTAAAAATTAAATTTAAACCAATGAATATCGAATAGATAATAAGTATCATGAACTTGCAAGTGTTTATATATCCATATATACTTAAACAAAAAAGAAAAAGGAAAAAAAAAAAAAAGAAGAAAATGTGTACATATTTCCATATGTAGTTTAATAAATAAATATAGGGCACATCACATTGTCTTGTAAAAATGAACCAAAAAGTGGTATAAAAGAGTGAAAAATATAGCCACTATAATTTGTTGAACAAGGGAAATAGTCTTTCCCTTTTCTGATTTGGAAAGGATGGTTGAACTGCCAATTATGGTGGAGGAGCTGGTGGTGGAGGAGCCGGTGGTGGAGGAGCTGCTTGGAGGAGAGTAGAGATATGCCATTGAAATGCAGCTCTCTTGCTCACCATTGAAGATTGGCCTTCCCAACACATGCTTGTATTGGTCACCACTTAAAGCCTGTGAAAAGAGCACAAACATATAAAGATCGATTATCACAAAGCTTGATTAATTAGAACCAAATATCTTTCATTGGACATAAAAGAAGACATAATGATAGCTCAAGGCACTAATTGTACATTAATGGTTAATTTTATTGAGCGCTAATGGATAAATTTGACCCTGAATTTTGACCGATTCTTCTTGTGGCTCTTTAAACTTTGTGAGTATTCAATTATGACTTTACAATTTCACATTTCAGTGAAAAATTATGTCTTTTGCCAAAGTGAAATAACTTTATGGGGATTCTATTATGGCTTTGTACTCACGTGTTTCGTTTTAGCGAGAAATATAACTATTACTGAAATGTAAAGTGCACGATCATAATGAATATCTCGCAAAATTTAGGAGCTACAAGAATAATCGCCGAAAGTACAAAATGAATTTATTCATTATGCATTATATATGTTAGATTTTTTTTTTTTTTTTGAATTTGAAAATAGTTACTATTACCACACATAACAGTTGTAAAGAGGCCAATTGTCGCTTTCAATATCATGATAAGAATCTCTAAAGGCAAAACTTAAAGTATTCCTATGTAGCTTTTACTTCTCATGGGTCACCAATATAGAGATTTAACCCTTTAACCTACAACTAAAATTATGTTCTCGATTGACATAATGTGAGCAAGTAACTAGCTAGATTAATTGTCCTAATACACAAGATTTCTCACATGTTAGAGACTTAACAACTTAATTATCTATAATGGAGAAAAAGGCTCATCAGGATTTAAATGTTTGATATATACTTGTCCACTAAACTCTTATCAGAATAGATTTTGCGTATTTTGATAAATTATAATGTTACAATATTTCTATAGCAGTTTATGGAACAAGTACCTGTGTTTGATCTCCAACAGTGACAACTATGGCATCTTTTTCTGGGCAGAAGGAGATCCAACCTTTCTTGGAGTAAACATGAAACTCTGAAGAGCCATCACATGTGTGCAAGCACAAGGCATGAGAGTAATCAGTTCCTCTTATTAGCATTCTGATCACATCATATCCTAAAGAGCTAGCCCATCGATCCTCCGGAATGTTTCTTGATCTATGCCTGTATAGGTAACACAATGAGCCAACATGATCAAGCCCTTCCATATTTATTGTCTTTCTCTGAGAATTTTCATTGATAACTTGCAGGATTTTCTCTGCCACATTTTCCATATCAGATACTAGTGCTTCCATTTTCTCACTGCAAATTATATCAAAAAAAGAGAGTAATTTCTTTGCAATGCAAAGATCATAACGCAGCAAGATATATTATCCAGAGAAAAAAAATAACATTCAGTTAAAATGTAGAAATATTGAAGACCAGACAATTATGATGATTACCTGAAATTTGAATATCCAGATGGCCATATTCCCTCCATTTCTAACTTCAACTTTTTGTCTCTACACCAAACAAACTCTTCGCTCAATTCACTTTCCTCTTCCCCATGAACTTCCTCAAAACCATACGGCCTTTCCGGCGACCTAGTGATAGCCACCCTTTTCTCTGGCGGCACTCTGAAAATTCTGGCAGCCATGGCCAGCACCAATCTTGTTAAATCACTTGGAATTCCATAATTAACCAGTTGAAAGCACCCAATTCTTGCTAGAGAATCCAAAATCCGAGGAATTGAATCACTTTCTGCAGTATCCAATGATTGGAAATCAATTACTGGAGGTGTTTCAAAAATCTTTTGCCTAGGAAAGATCTTATCAGGCAAAACTAAATCAGGGACACGTAGCGAATGCTCAAGAAATTCAGTGAGCACATCATCATTGGCCACAGAAGATCTCCGACCAGAGGCAATCGGAGATGGCGGCGGTGCACGGAAATCAATGAGATTTTCAGGCATGGGTTCTGGTGAAAATGCCATATAAGATATGATACTAGTATTTAAAACAGAAGAAGGTCAGTCACTAGCTAATGCCTAACAATTAATAATTCTGTTTTCTTGATTGATATATATTTCTTTTTGGAGTATATGTGAGTTTTTTTAAGTTATAAATTTTATTTCGTTCTTTCCTTTTCTTTCTTTATGCATAAATAAAGAAAAGAAAGCAAAAGTGGAAAGGAGCAGCAATGATGGATTGTCCAGAACATTGTAGACACATGAAGAATCATCACTAAGGATGGGTTTTCACTTTCTTTTTACATGCTTTTCTTTTATTTCTTTTTTTCTTTGTACAAATTTAATTTAATTTCTCTATCTTTACAACTTTCACTCTCTTATTCATCTCTCAGAGTTAGCACTAGCCTGGCTCTTCAGTGTCTTCATGTTTGTGCTGACAAAAAACCATTGTTTCTTGCTGACATACAGAAATAATATACGTACAGTAAAGCAGCCTCATTATCGGATAATTAACTACTTAAGCGTCTCGTTTTAATTTTCTGCAAAAGTTTCTGTACATCTTTACTTTACTTTTCTAGAAGAAAATGGTGGGTTCATATATCCACTCTGTATAATTATATATTTCAAAATTTGTCTAGTATCAATTGATTTTCATTCTAAATATGATTAAAACTATAGATTTAGACTATGATAATTGCTCTGTTTTCTTTTTTTTTTTTAAAAAAAAAATTCAGACAAGTGTGTGTGAGCTCATAATTATCACTGTTACCTAAAGATTGAAATTGATGGGGTAAAAAAAAAAAAGAAAAGCAGGGATGATATATGCACCAATAAAAGAAGCTCATGATGATGATCGTGAGTGTCTTAATTAGTAATTTACATCTCAGAAGGTGCAGCTAAGTGCTTGTAATAAATTTACGTGGGCCTTCAGCCCCATGCACTGTCAGTCCTCAATTTTTGGATTCAATAATTATAATTTCGATTTTAACCATGGTTTTGGTTCTATGTCAGATTGGCTGCACATTTGTAAACGCAAAATAATGAATTCAAGAAGATGAAATATTATTAGAAATTAAACTTTTCGCTTAATTTATTTTATTTTAAAATGAAATATAATAATTATTGGAGATCAGAAAATTATTAGCAGAGATAAACATTTGAACAGTGCTTATTATTATTATTAGGGTGAAGAAGTCCTCCATAGAAAAGACTTTTTTGTACCTGGTATATGAGAATTTGGGAAGCCAAGATGATAAAAATGTTTGATACAAATAAGGTTATTGGTGTCTTTTAACTGGAAAAATAGGGAGATAAAATATTAATAAGAAGTGAGAATATGAAATATGAGAAATAAATAAATTGATGGATCAGACTGCACGGGTTCTTGATTAGTTGCAAATTAAGACTTAAGAGGTTTGGGCCATCTATCTAACTGGGCCGAGAATTCTCCAGTTTAGATGTTTTTCTTCTTTGCTGGGATTCAAAGAGCCTCCTAGCAGGCTAGCCCAAGCCTTTTGTGAGGTTTTTCCTTGAGCCCGAACCAAAGTTATGTTCAGAGCAATTCAGAACTCACTGGATTGAACTTTTATTAAATTGACACATGAGTCTTATTAATCTTTTTTGGGACAATTATTATCTTATCTTTATAATTTACCATAATTAACTATTTTATTTTCTATATTTTTAAAAGTAAATGATTTTATCTTTAATATTTGATTTCATCCAATTATATTATCCTTTCATCCATTTTTTTTTTTATTTTTCCGTTAAATAATTACTATTTTATTTTTGTAGCTTGCCAAAATTAACTATTTTGTTTTTCTGTTTTTAAAGATAAAATAGTTTTATTTTTAAAATGATAATAATAAATAAATAATTTTGATAAAATATATGGAAAAATATTAATTGTTTCAACAACTTTTAACAGAAAAGTGCAAAAAAAAAAAAAAAAACTTGTTTTTAAAGAATAAAAATAAGTTTTATTTTTAAAATGATAATAATAATAATAATTTTTGATAAAATATATGGAAATATTAATTGGTTTCAACAACTTTTAACAGAAAAAAAGTGCAAAAAAAAAAAAAAAAAAAAAAAAAAAAAAAAGGAATATAAAATAGTTGATCAAACATTAGGAATAGAATCATCTATGTTTAAAAATATAGGAAAAAAATAATTAATGATGAAAAAAATAAACCTAAAATAATAATTGTCCCTTTTTTTCATTTCCAAAAATTAAAAAGAAAACTTTACTCCTTTTATATTTCCAATCAAATGATTAATAAAAGAAATACGTTGTTTTGTGTTAAATTTTCAAAAAAGCACTGTGAATGTGACAATGGAATGGTCTATTTGTGCTGCCACCTGGTGAATAAGTTGAAATTAAAATGATAAGACAACGCCGTTTCCCTCTGGTTAGTCAAAAATCAAAATGCTTAACACGTGTCGCCTTCTGAAAGTATTTCTTCTTCTTCTTCTTCTTCTTCTTCTTCTTCTTCTACGGTTTGTTTTTCCTTTCATTTTCTTCCCATAGACAGGAAAAAACAAGCAAAGAAAAGTTGTCATAAAATTTGATTTAGTGCTGCTATTTAATTTTAACAAATGAAAAAAAAAAAAAAGTTACATGTCTAGCAACATTAATTTATTGTCTCTATACAGATGCAATTAAGATAAATTTGACTAGACGACATGGAATTAATTTTAAAGATAAATTTGACCATAATAATAATTTTACTATTTGAATTTAATACACATATTGATAATTAATTATTCATTCTATCAAATTATTTAACCATTTTATCCAAAAAATATATTTTTGTCATAAAAAATCTTATAATACTTCACTATTTACTTCATATAGTTAATATAATATTATTATTTAACCCGTCACATTTATATTTTCATTAGCATTTAATAGCAAAAACTACAAATTTAAATAGAAGTTGCACTATATCGCATGAACTAATCAGTATATTTATCAAATATAATATTAATGTTGTAATTATAATCTAATATAAGGACTGAATAGTTATTTATTCTTAACTTAATATTTTTTAACATTCATACTATTTTATATGTCTAGTTGTTTGCTATTTTTATAATTTAGTTTGATGGCTAAACACATACATTAAATCAAATAACATTTTGGAGGCCATGTGATTAAATGTTTGGTTCAATTAAGATTTTTCAATTGTGAAAAGCACTAATAATAATAATAATAATAATAATAATAATAATAATAAACGTGGTCCACTTAAAAGGAAGAAAATAATATTTACTAAAAACAAATTTATGCCTTTTAATTTAATTTGTTAACATTATACTCTTCTTTTTCTGTCTTTTCAATAATATAAATTTAGTAGCCTAATGCACATATTAATACATGTCAATGGTATTCCTGGCATTATGGTAATAGACAAAAAAATGAAGAGTTGGGAGAAGATAATTTGTTAAAAGGAATAATAAGAAAAAAAAAAAAAAAAAAAAAAAAAAAAAAAAAAAAAGCTGATTGTGATTGGTAGGTAGTAAAGGGGGCCTACTATAAGTGTTTGACGAGCGGTCCACAGTCTACTCTCAACTTGCGCCGTCGTGTGGCTCCATTCCACCAACCCCCCACAGCTATTGTGTCAGCAAATCCACGTTTTAATATTTGAAAAAAAAAAAAAAAAAAAAAAAAAGCTGATTGTGATTGGTAGGTGTAAAGGGGCCTACTATAAGTGTTTGACGCAGCGGTCCACAGTCTACTCTCAACTTGCGCCGTCGGTGGCTCCATTTCCACCAACCCCCCACCAAGCTATTGTGGCAGCAAATCCACGTTTTAATATTTGATTTTACCATTTGTTTAGGATATAATAATTTTTTTTATAAATTTTTTATTTTGAGCTATAATTGTCAGACGAGAGATTAATTTCTTTATAGTTGAGAAGCAATTATTATATTAAATTTTCTGCTTAAGATGTCGACTTTACGAATGATCCTGTGATCATCAAAATGGAATTTAGTGTGTTTTGACTACAGTAAAATTTTAATTGTTGTAATTTTTTAAAAGAAAATATTAATGCTAATTAAAATTTTGGAACATTATTTATGCTTTATTTGATTAACCAAATTTTTATAAAATCTATAGAAACAAAATTTATAAAAAAATTTCGGATAAATTAAATATTAAGTGGGGTATGTAGAGTCAATAAGTCAAAGGATCTCAACGACCTTTTGTTTAATAACAAAAATTTCTAAGGTGTTTGGATATGAGCTTTTCCTTTCCATAACAATGTCTTTTCTCCTAAATTGGACAACATCATATACCATGTTACTGTTAATGAAGACTTGCTGCTCTTCATCTTTGACACTTGTGGCCAAAATACTCTACTTCTTTTTTGAGTTGGCTATGTTATTTTTCAGTAATTTAAGGATTGGTTTATTGTCAATTTTTCATATTTTAAGGAATATGAAATACTAAAAACCAAAGTCATCATTTCGGTTATTTAATTTAAGTTTAGTGGCAAAAATAAAAGATAAATTAATTATACTTGACAAATTACCTAGATCAATTAATGAATAAAATGAAATATATCGTAAAAAAATGTTTTAAGAAAAATTTATTAATTATAAAATTGAGTTTACAACAACGTCTTATAATAAAAAAAATAATAAAAAAAAGAAAGAATTTGATAAATCCTCAAAGATACAATTATTGAGACACATAATTCATTTGAAAATGATGTTTTTGGAATGAAGTTGACGAACAACCAAAAGTAGATGAAGGATTGAAAATATTGCAACCCTGTCTTTTTAATTAATTAATATTATATAAACCATGATAGTTTAGTTTGTTTGTCCGTTTGGAGCTCATTAATTTACAACTGAGTTTTTGGCCCACCTACCCTACCGTAACAATGCATGTACTAGATAATTATTTAATCCCAGGTTTCGTCGTTAATCACAACCTTATTTTTGTTATCCGCTAAATAGATTTAATTCTATTAAATTATTATTATTATTATTATTATTATTAAAAAGTACTCTATAACTTTAGAAAGCCTGATCGTTGGATTAAATACAAGGCATCCTCTAAATTGGGATTCCAAGAAAATTGCAGAGAAAATGTTTGTATTCCTTTTAATT